TTGACATTCTATTTATGATTTTTTTTTAACAAAAACAATTAAAAAGTATTGCTTAAGGTTTATGAAAATATAAGTTTAGGATTTTAAATAAACTGCATTTGGTTTAAATGCTAATAATGTACGATTGTCAAAATCATATAATTTCCCTGGTGACAACTCTAGAGAAGCAGCACAGACCTGCAGCTCATATGGGAGAATATACTGGGAAGGCTGGGCTTTTAGCATACAAGAAGAAAGACAGAAAAGTGAGATCATGGTTGCGGTTCTCACAAGTTATACAGGGAATGTTGCAAAAATGGGGAGGACATGGGAGGAGGACTCCAAACTGTGACCATTTGGCTTTGCATCAGATGTACTGTTTGGCTCCTAAAACTCAGAAAACACATCAGTCTGATCACACAGCCAACGAGGAAACAGTGACGTCAGCATCAGGCTGTTTGGAATAACTCCTCTCTCAGCAGACAAAAGTTCAACATTTATGAGTGATAAAGTGAGCTAGAGTTAAATTCAAAGTCATTCATAACTGTGACAAATCTCAATAGAGAGTGATCTTTTACCATCGCTAGAATATTTCAACTGACTGGAAACATGGGCGTGTCTGGAGAGGGAGCAACAAGGGCAAGTGCTCCAGTTAGAGTTGGACCTGTCCCCTCTACTGAAGACATAACACAAAATCCATCTCTTAAGGTACATTCAGACAGAACCCATTGTCTGCAGCAGTGAATCCTATTCAGTGAAGGCATTCAATGCTTCGCTCTTACTTGCTACTTGACAGAACTAAGGTGTTGGCAAACAGTGGCACAATATGAAGAGGTGGAGCGGTGACCACTGAAGTTGAAAAATCATGTTACCAATAGCTACCAATAAAGGACTGGTTGTAGTTGAGAAGTAGGTTGAAAGAAGTGCAGCAGAGATTGATTATAGAAGAACTGTTCTTTACCCTCCATAACCTCCAGCACAAACCATTGGTCTGTTGTTTCCCCACTGTCCTGCACAGGTGCTTTCTGCACAGGTAGATCTATAAGGAAGTACTGCCAAATTGGTTAATCATACAGATAAACCAAAAAAGGGTTTTGGATGAACCAAAGGGGTTATAATCAGTGCTTCTGGGGCTTTTCCCAAAAGATGTATGGTCTCTCCAAAGAAATTCAAAACTTGTGCAAAGAGAACAATTTAGAAGCAGCCTGTAATGTCACATTTCACCTGTGCTTTTATTGTGAAGTGCAGACATTGAGACCAGTAGGGTGATGGAAGCCATTTTTCAGCTCAATCACAAAGCTACCCTGATCTGGCAGCACCTGAGCTCCTCTCACTTGTTCAATCTATTCTTCCTGTTGGCCTGGTAACCAGACGTAAGTTTTCATATATTTTGGACTTGTCAAAATGTATTAAACAATTGTTTTTAATCCTTTTTTTCAAATAAAATCAAATTTTATCTTGCACCACTCTAGGTGTACTTTGTACATGCACTTTTTTTTGTTTCATTGCGCCCCCATGAAAAAACACTGACCCAAACGTGGCCCCACTGGTAAATTTGATCTGGAGCTGCCACTAAAAGTAATATAAACAGTTTGAAGTAAGCCAAATAGAGTCAGGGCTTGAATTAAATAGAAAATATGTATAAGTTGCTAAAGATTAGGATGATTGCAAACAGGCATTCCAATGTAAAAGAAATAAAAAGCATCGAAGAGCTGGACACCAATTAGTATTATCCATGTTTTCCGATTTGTTATTTAGAAGCATTCCTGGGTGAGAAGAACCTATTAGAAGTGGCAAAAACTGAAGACTGGGGAAGAGGTTCACCTTCCATTATGGCAATAATAAACATAAACGCACAACTTAACATGGATAATTCAGATCAAAGTGTAATAATATAGTGGAATGATCAGTCATAGTCCAGACCAAAATACAGTAGTCTACAGCAAAACTTGAAAATTGCTTTCCATTGTTTCATAACTCAAAAGACTCACCCTGAGCAATGATTCTAGGAGGAATAAGCTATATACTTTTATTCTCATATTCTGATGTTGTCAGAATTCACCTTAGAGACCTTCAGAGGTGACAGCATCAAAGGTGCTTCTATATAAGCAATTGCTAAATGGAGCTGAACACAAACACATGGCAAAACTAGCACATAATATCCCAACACAATACATTTAGCTCTCTGGTGGTAACATGGCAAAGAGACAGTAGGCTGTCAATACATGGTGAAATACAGGGGAAAAAACTGGTGTATAATAATGGTGTATTTAAAAAAGGGCCTGAATAGAATGCAAAGTATTTATCTCCACTATAACCATGATATGTATCTGTCTCATATAGAGAACGCATTAGTATTAAAAGCTGGGGAAGATAAGACTAACCTATATTAATCCTGCAGTTTTAATGCTAAAGTGTACTCAAAGACAAAGGGATTGATAGTCTACTTTTGCCCTTGAGTGAGGCAAAGAGCTCGTCAGAATGAGTATGTATGGCAGAGAGCTTAATAGCAGAGCGGTGACAAAAAGATAATCTCTTTTGTAGTTTTTATCCCTAAATGTGTTGTTTGTCCCTTATCCCAGCTACTTAGGTTCTGCCCTGCATAAGTGATGCCCTGCACTTAGTCTGCAAAAAGCAGGTCAATATGACCAAAGAGAGAAGAAAAAAAAAACACATGTGCATCACATGGATAGCCTTGGGATTATTCCTCACAAAATGTCTTAATTCCTCTGTTCACTAATGATCCAGGGAAAATGCCCTCTAATCTCCATTCCATTAATTAAAAAGAGCATGAGCCCGTGGAAAACCGCACCATCTGCTGCAGTTTCATTTGTGCAGACAGATTGTGTTTTCAGTTTTTAAACAAGGAGAAATTGGGTTTTTTTTAAGCAAATGGATGGAGAAGAAAAAAAAAGATAGAATTACTGTTTTATTTTTTAATGCATCAAAGTAAATATTTCAAAATAGAAGGGAAAACAGTAGCTAAATTGTTGTATTTCATTCCCAAGATTGCATTATTATTATTTGATGACATGCAGCAACTGATTATTTACATAAAAAGATTAAATCAATTATTGGAACTTTACATGTTAAGTGTTAATAGATTAACTGATTTGCTTTTTCTTTAATTTGTGTAAACAGTTGAAAAAAATAAGTTTTACCTCTTTATGCCATTACCTAATAACCATAGAATAATTAACACACAGTGCTTTGCAAAACTACCCACAAAACTGGAACATCACATTGAATTTAAAACACACCTAGATTTTTAGTTGTGAATTGTATTGCAAAAAGGATGATTTTTTTTGGGTTTTTTTGTTTTTTTGCAAATCCTTTACCTGAAAAGCATGGGCATGTATACGTTCATGTATTTCAACCCTTTATTCTCATGTCCAAAATGAAATCTCAATCCAGTGCAACCAGTTTCCGATAAAACACCCCTTATTCATATCCATGAAGGCCCTAAAGGTTTGTAAGAGTAGAGCACAAACAGCATCATCATGATTAGCAACACAACATGCAGAAAGGTAAAAGATCAGACAACTTAAATCAGGGTTATGTTATGAAACAATATCCATCTATCCATCTTCTTCTGCTCAATCCTTCAGGGTCATGGTGGGACTGGTGCCTTTCTGGAGCAGTCTATGTGTAAAAGGACGAGTACACCTTGGACACAGTCCATCGCAGGGCAAAACAGAGACATGCAACAATGCATGCACACACACTCACACCTAAGGACAATTTAGAGGTGGGTGCCAATTAACAGTTACCCTAACAGTGTTTGGACTGTGGGGGTCGGGGGGGGGGGGGGGGGGGGGGTCGGTAATACCCGCTAAAAATGCAGGAATGAAAGACCCTGGGAAGCAAATCGAACCAAGGACCTTCTTGCTTCAAGGCACCAGTGCAACAAACTGTGCCACCCTGAAAATGGACATGGTACAGCATAAATGAATACCTACCAAAACCTCACTGTCAACGTAACCATACAGGCATGGCACTGATAGTATTAACTAGAGAATCAGCCAACATGCCAGCGGTACAAATGCAGGGGCTGCAGAGATCTACATCTAAAGTGTAAGAACAGTTTGACTGGTCAAAGCGATAAAGAACATGATGCTTTGACCAGATAAGACATCAGTCTTACATTTTGACATGCATAAATACATCTTCCCCACAAGGAAACATGGTATTCCCTACATTATGTTGTAGGGATCATTTTCTTCAGCAGAAAAAAGGAAAGCTGGTCAGAGCTGAAAGGTAGATGGATGGAGCGAAATATAATGCAATGAAAACCAGGGTATAAAAAGGACTTGACGATGGAAACAACATACAACAGCACTCAATGCCAAAGATCAAAGTATGTTCTTATGTCGGAGTACTCATTCAAAATTGATCTAAATCAGTAGAGGCTACATTGCAAAAGATCTGAGCCTAAATGTGAAAAACTAATAAAAAAAGATACAGTAAAAGCTGATTTCTTTAATCAAGGGTCTTCATCATGTTTCATTCCTGGATCCCCAAATTGATGTAGAGACAGAGAAAGGATCCCCTTGCCATGTCTGCTCCATAGGGGCTTTAATGTCATCTCCCTATGCAGAATGTATTAACTGCTTTGTCTATCAATTAACACCCATAATGAATTAAACTAAAATTTGTGGATGTTGTGTCATAAAACATTTAAAACTTCAATTTGAGCACATATTTTGTAAAGTACTGGATTATAGATTTTTTTTAAAATCTGCATTATAAAATGTTTTTTAAATGCTTTAACCATGGTGACCTGCAACATCTTACTGAAACTTCTGAAGAATGTTGTTAGTAACTTGAAATATACAAAAGGTAGAAAAATCGGTGTTAAATTGAACTGATGAAATAATCCTATAAGAATCTAAATGGGATACTTCTGACCTGCGTTTAAAGCCCGAAAGACCGTGACACGAATTTGATAGGGCTAGTAGGCAGCAGGGATTAACAGAGCAGATGTCGTTTTCCCCTTCGCCTTGAAACAGAGGGGCCAATAATAAAAACGCGCACACGCAGGCACACACACAGAGATAGACTCTATGCCTCTGCGCATCTCACCTCTTTCCCCTTTCCTACAGACAAGAATGCGCAGCTCCATTCATACTGATGTGAACTTCTGCTCACCTTCGACTTTATTTTAAAACACATCTCTTGCTTCAGACAACAAATGGGCATCAAAGGTGAGCTGTGTGTGAAATGGCTCCTGTGCCATTTTGCGCTCATCACAGTTTTCACTGAGAGAGCGTTTGGACAGATCCGCTACCCCATTCCAGAGGAGCTGGAACACGGGGCTTTCGTGGGAAATATAGCGGAGGATTTGGGGTTGGATTTGGATAAACTGTCTATGCGCAGATTTCGGATAGTTTCCGGCTCCAAGAAGCAATACGTGGAGGTGAATTTGGAGAACGGTGTCCTGTTTGTCAATGAGAGAATTGATCGAGAGGAACTGTGCGAACAGAGTTTATCCTGTTCTTTCCATCTGCAAGTTGTGATAGAAAACCCACTGGAGTTGTATAGAGTGGAGATCGAGATTCTGGACGTGAATGATAACTCTCCCAGCTTTCCCTGGACAGAGATCAACCTTGACATATCCGAATCTGCTGCGCCAGGATCGCGTTTCCCTCTGGAGAGCGCGCAGGACATGGACGTGGGATCCAACTCGCTGCGCACCTACTTACTGAGCGTAAACGAACATTTCAACTTAGACATCCAGACGCGGAGTGACGGTAGTAAATTTGCAGAGCTGGTCCTACAAACACCGCTGGATAGAGAGCAGCAGAGCGCCCATCAGATGGTGCTCACGGCGGTGGACGGAGGTGCGCCAGAGAGGTCAGGCACTGCGCAAATCTACATCACTGTTCTGGACGCGAACGACAACGCGCCCGTGTTTGATCAATCGTTTTACAGAGTGAGGCTCGCCGAAAACGCACCAAAAGGTACAGTGATAATAAAACTCAACGCCTCTGACCAAGACGAGGGACCAAACGCAGACATTAATTACTCCTTTAGTGGCCACGCTCCGTTAAAGGTGCGCCAGCTTTTCAGCGTGGATCCACGCACGGGAGAAATAAAAGTAAAAGGAGTGATCGACTACGAGAAAGCAAGGATGCATGAAATTTACGTGCAGGCGAAAGATAAAGGTCCCTCTGCCGTGGCGGTGCACTGCAAAGTGCTTGTGAACGTCTTGGATAAGAATGACAACCTGCCTGAGGTGATCTTGACCTCAGTGTCCACACCTGTGCAAGAGGACGCGCCGCCAGGGACCGTTATAGCTGTTATCAGTGTGATGGATAAAGACTCGCGTGAAAATGGGAATGTGGACTGCGAGATCCCGCATCACATCCCGTTTCAGCTACACTCATCCTTCAAGAACTACTACACCTTAGTAACCTCTGACTTTCTAGACAGAGAGGCTGTGGCAGATTATAACATCACTGTCACTGCAAGAGATATGGGTTCTCCTCCTTTATTTACAAGGAAGACAATCTTCGTCCAGGTCTCTGATGTGAATGATAATGCCCCTAATTTTAAGCAACCCTCTTATACTGTTTATCTGACAGAGAATAACGCACCAGGCGCGTCAATCTGCTCTGTGATTGCAACGGACCCAGACTCAGGTCAGAATGCGTATTTATCATATTCTGTACTAGAGGGGGACATAAAGGGAATGCCTGTTTCCACATATGTATCTATAAACTCGGACAACGGGAACATTTACGCACTACGCTCATTCGATCACGAGCAGCTTAAAAACTTTCAGGTCACTGTGAAGGCTCAGGATGCGGGATTTCCACCTCTCAGTAGCAACGTGACAGTGAGCATCTTTATTTTGGATCAGAACGACAATGCGCCCCTGATTTTATCCCCTGTTACGCAAAACGGCACAACGACGAACGCAATCGTGCCAAGATCAGTGGACGCGGGTTATCTGGTGACTAAAATCAATGCAGTAGACGCGGACTCTGGACAGAACTCGCGGCTGATTTACCAGATGCTCCAAGCCACTGACTCCAGTTTGTTCAGTGTGGCTCTGTACACAGGCGAGATCAGGACGATGCGCCAGATAGAGGATAAAGAGCCCACCAGGCACAGGCTGGTCATTCTGGTGAAGGACAATGGTCAGCCTCCCCTTTCGGCCACAGTTTCCATCATTTTGTCAGTAGTTGACAGCTTGCCAGATCTACAGCCTGATTTGGGTGACCTTTCACAGAGCCTGCATCACAGCTCCAGCTTCACCCTGTACTTAATCATGGCTCTGGGTGCAATCTCCTTCACGTTCCTGCTGGCTATCATCGTCCTTGTTGCAGCCAGAAGATTGAAGGGCAGATTGCCCAGCAAGGCGTCCAGCCTCCCCTCCGTCAGCAGTTGCTGTGGCTGTTGCTCTCCTTCACAGCTCTCCTCCTCCAACACCACCACAACCACAGAGGTTTTCAAAAAGTCCAACCTGAACGTCCGCATGTCCTCTGCAGGTGCTTCAGGGTGCACTGAAGCCAGTAGCAGCGGCCCTCACCCGCAGGTGTACTGCTACAAAATGTGTCTGACCCCTGAGTCTTCCAGAAGTGACTTCATGTTTCTTAAGCCTTGCAGTCCGGTTCTTTCGGTACAGCAGAACAACACCAAGAGCACTGATTACCTGACCTCAGGCTGGAGCACGCTGGAGCGTAACGATATATCCAACAACCGAGGAGTAAGCCCTAATGAGGTAAAGATCAGGCAAACATGGCGATTGAATGAAAAACTTATTTTAATCAAAATGTATTCTTGTCCCATATTTATGATACAAACAAAAAGTATTAGGTATTTTAGTGTGATCTATATGAATGTGCATGTTTTTCCTATTCCATTTTTGTTTATCTTTTTAGCTCAAAAAACCCAAAACCTATCTTTCCAAATATATCCCATAAGTGAAGCAGAAGGTAGCACCATGCTTTCGGGATGCGTTTTTCCAACTTTCATAAAAGTTGGCCAAAGTTGAGGTGAAATTAATTGATTCTGCAATGCAGTCATGGAAGAAAACCTGTTCTGTGGTTGGGTGATAGTAATGTGAATATTCACATTCCAAAATTACCTGAAACATACAGTACATATTCATTTAATTTCAAAGGTTAGTGTGTCATAATGGCTTACAAGGGCAAACTTCCGACTTACATCTGATTGAGAAGTTCTAGCAAGACTTAAAAATTGCTGTTCACAAACACACTCCAGCCTGAGAAAGGCAGAAAACAATAGAATTTGGGTGTAGATCTGTAAAGACATCATTATAATGCATATATGTATAATTTTTCTTCCACTTCAGAGTTATTCACCTGGTTTTTGGTCAAACTAAATAAAAAAACAAAAAACAACACTTTGTGATCTAATGGGCTGAAATAAGAGATAACAACAGGGATAATTTCAAAATGTTGACTGTCAGTATTATAATGCATGTATAATCTTAACTATACCTCTGACTTTGCACTTAAGAAGCTTAAAGACATGTTGAATAATACCACATAGCAGGAAACATAATCCCACCATAAACCCTGTTTATTTATTTTTTAAATCAATTCTTAATGTAACATACATTCTCACTGAAAACAGAATAGAAATCTAACCTTTAATTTGAATATATTTATTCTGTATTTAAAAAAAAAAAGTTCTTGGGAAAACACCTATTCTGCTCATGTCTAAGCATTTCATCAGGTTGATGCATAAATACAGAGACCAATCCTTTTTGTACAATTTCCTTTCTATAGAGCCACTTTGGCAGCATTAAGTCTTTAAAAGGGACAATTGGAGCTGAATAAATGCAACTTTGTATTACCTTGTTTGATTTACACAAAGCAAATTGCTTTGATATTAAACATTTGCTCCAAATTTTTATGCAGTTTTAGTGACTTTATACACATATACAACTATGATATACCATTTGTGGTTCTTAAGGGCTAAATTAATTGCTGTGAGGGAGCACATTCAGCCCGCAGGCCTCAAGTTTGACACAAGCTAGGCTGTCCAGAATCCTCACTCTTTTCCTTTCTTGTCTTTAGCTTTTATATAGGATTTAAATCAGAACACTGAGATGATTATAAAATAATGTTGATCTTTTTTTTTTTTTTTGCCTAATGAACAATTCCTTTGTTGTGCTGGCTAAATGCAGTGGATTATTACCCCTCTGACACAACAGATTACCAAATAACTTTTTTGTCTTTTGTTTTATTTTGAAATGTTTTGTCATGTCAAAAAATAATACAACTATGCTCCTAAAAGCACTGTAAAACATACAGGACAGAATAATGGACTAAACTTAAGCATTACAGTCCCTCACTTGATTCATGTTCCTCTCCATGTCTCCATTTTCACCTTGGAAGTACCTGAGTGAACAAAGTTCAAGATACCGTTGCATCTCTAAATAGATGAAGTCCCACTGCACAAAATATCTACTATCTAACTTAATAGGGAGATGAAAGGAATTAACACTCTTTTTCAACCTTTTCCGAAGCAACAGTACCCAGAATGTTTGCTCCTAAAATGCTTAATCTTGGTATGATCTCATCAAAACACACAATTCCAGTTCGTCTCACTAGAGCTTAGAAACAAATATTTATGACCTGTGGATTGGAAAGGCTTTCATTTGACATAAATTACAAATGACTGGTTAACCTACACAGGACATTATGTATGGATATTGTTTTCACTTGGTAACACAAAGATGTCGCTTTTGGGAAAGTTTTAGAAATTCGCTAAATCCATCATGATCATTTTTATGCTCTACATGTATGGCGGCAAAATAGACATAGGTCCTAAAAATGCTTCCTACAGTTACATTCAATTTTGCTCTAATTTCACATATTTTCAACTAGGGCTGCAACAACGAATCGATAAAATCGATAAAAATCGACTTTTAAAAGCGTTGGCAACGAATTTCATCATCGATTAGTTGTGTCGCGCGATTAATGAGTCATCCGCCGCGCCGTCATCACTGCCTCTTGACTGAAAGAGGATGAAAAAAAATACGGCAGAGCGAGCCAGCGCCGCAGGTGCAGTGTTGCCAACTCAGCGACTTTTCAGACCCCTCCAGCGACTATTTTTCAAAAAAGCGACTAGCGACAAATCTGGCGACTTTTTTCGGTGTCACTGGCGGCTTTTGGAGACTCTTACGTGAAGGCATGTATCGTTCCTACTCTGCCGTGGGGCGCCTCCCCCACCCCAACCGCGTTTTCCCGCAGGAGTCCCTCTCAGCGCTGCAGTCAGAGCCTCAGCGTCCAGACTGCAAATGAAGCGCGCATGCACCGGGATTGACGGCGCAAATTGATCACAATAATTAAAATAGCCTGCGCTTTGTAAAGTGAAAAAAGTGATAACATGCAACTTTTGTCAAAAGAAATTTACATGGCACGGAACCACCATGTTTGTTTGGTTTTAAAGTTGGGAAACGTTACGGTAGTTTCTCAGGTAGCTCATCTGATGCTTTCCTTACCGTGTTAGTAGGTTACAGACAGTGATAAGGTTGGCTACTTATTTTACTTTTAATTTCATTTCAATTAGCTTAAGCAGCGTTTACATTTACTTTATAAATAAATTAACTTGCAAATTATGAGGGCAAGGCTTTTAAAGTTTAAATCTTCTGGCAAAGATAAAGAAGATCCTGCAATTTATGGAAGTAAAGCAGAATAAAATCCAGCAAGATCAGTAATATGTCAATTAATTATCTGCCACATTCCCATGTAAATATCTGTCTTTGGAGGATGTGTTTTTTTACCACCCCTAGTTCTCTCATTTTTATTCCAAATACAATTTATAATTTGAATCACAGGGCTATTTTTATCTCTATGGTTCAGTATTTTCTCAAGTAGCAACTTTAACTGCTATACTTTCCTGTCTTAAAAGGCAGAACTCTTCTAGTCTAAAAAAACTATTTTTTTGCGCTTTATGAAACAAAGTACCCTATATTTTGTGGATGTACAGCTACATTTCTCATGTAAGTTTGCGTAGTTTTAACACAAACATTTATTTTTCATATTGCACCAGTGCAGTTAATGAGCAACCTGTACTTGTGTGCTTGTTTGTTCTGTCTAAAATGTTTATTTTGGAATAAAGAGGTTAATATAAAAAATATTTTTTGTCCGATTCATCGATTAATCGAAAAAATAATCGTCCGATTCATCGATTTTTAAAATAATCGTTAGTTGCAGCCCTATTTTCAACTTTAGGTGAATAGTTATCTGCTATTATCAGTGTACAAAGATCAACACTCATCTGCCTTTTAATGGTCATGTATTTCTCATGTTTGAACAGAAATGGGTTTTCAATTGATGTATATTTATATTATTTGCCAAACAGCAATAGTTCACTAATTATAGCTCTCTAGACACTTTTAAAAGTAAAGCTTACATTTAGTTAAGCCTTGTTTCCTGACTCTGAAATTGGAGAATCTAACAATTTTTACACATATTTAACTCACTCACATGCTTAATATCAATATGCCCTCACAGGATTCTTCCCTAGCACTGTGATGAATGGGGATACATCCATTCCAACAGACTGCATGTAGTTTTTGTAGACTGGGTGTAATTCTTGCTGTATTTGCAGGAATTTCTTTGTCAATTTCTACAAGGCTTGCAAGTTTTTTGCAGATGGAAAATCATTCTTATTCAGTTCAGAGATATAGCTGTGTTTTAACAGAAACAGGAAGCAGAAATAGAAACATCAATCTAGTCTAAAAATTAAAAAGACAAAGAAAAATAGATTTTTCTATTTATTTTTGCTTTAATTTCTCTCATAGCTAATTACTTAGTAACTTATTTATTTTATACATTTCTTTAACTGATTACTTCATTTTTAAAATACATCCTTGCCTTCCTTTGGTTTCTCTGAAACTGTTTTTTTTTTATTTTAATCATATCTTTTGACAAAATGTCTCTCTTCTATCTGTGCAGCTTAGGTATTCCCACAAGAACTTAACATGGACCAAGAACCAGCGCAACTCGGCTTACAAAAGGTTAGTTTATTCAATTATTTAATCACCACCTGGAACATGCAACATGCAGATTATGAGGCAACACTTCACCCCCCTTTTTTTTTCTAGATATAGCTCGGCTAACATGGAGGGTACTCTTTCACGGCAGCCAAAGTGTGACACAGACAGTTTCTCCGTGGCTCCACAGTACTGGACCTGGGGAAACCAGATGAATGGTAGGTCCAGTTTTATTGTTTATATGATAAAAGGTTATAAGTAGATTAAGTGTGAGCTTTCTCTGTGTCTCTTCCAGAGGGATTTTGTCAAAGACATGAAATGATAAACTATGAAGCAGATAATGCATAATCCCAAAAGTAGGGGGGGATTTTCCTGCTTCAGTATGAGAATTAATAAGGTTTCCCTCAAGGAGTATTATTCGTTGCAAAGCTGTATTAATAAAATGCTCTTAAAAGCCACTGTGTCCAGATCAGGCAAAGTGTATTTACATATGAGCTACTTTCATGAATTATGCCCTGATTTCGACTAATTTATGCATATTTTATACAGAATGCAAGAGATCTCTCCAAGAGGCAGCCTCTCCTAACAGCTCATGGACTCCGAAGCAAACTCAGCCTCATTCCGAGGCAGCGGATTATCAGCACAACGTTTACATTCCTGGCTCCACGTCTGGCTACAGCACACTGAAGCTGACGTCCAGAGGGGACCTGGACGTTTTCAACACCTTCTCCACCTTTGGCAAGAAAAACAAATTTATCTCCAGCTATGAACAAACATTTGACATGGATAATGGCATCATAAGCAATTCCATTTTTAAATGAGTGTTGGAAGCTTTCAACTGTTATATTATTGTTATGATTCGTAAACATTCATTGGAGACTTTGTTGCCCTTACTTTTTATTAAGTTGTTTTAAATTTACAATTGATTTCTAAACAGTGATAGTAAGGTTTAACAAATAATGTATGACTGAAACACAGCTTTTCTGTTTCACTCTTTGGTTTTTGTTGGGGTCACCTATTTGATGAAGGGTCTTTTCTAAGCAAATTAGCACTTAATATTAAGCCTGTATTTGCTTGCATAAATGTAAATATTATTGTAAAGAAATTCACTATAATACTTTGTAAATTCTGTAAGTAGTTACATTTATAATAATTCATTCTATAAAATCAAATACCTATCACCTATTAAACACTATAATTACTTCTATTTATTTTCAGTACAGTTCAATGCAGCTCTTGTTTTAAAAGAGGTGTCGGGGCAGGAAATAGCATAACTTATTTTGAAATTATTTCCAACTTTTTTATCCACTGATACATTTTATATGTTTTCCTTACAGTGGGTAAAATAAAAACTGAACATGCCACCATTTTTCTCAGTCATATAGTTCTAGAGCTGCTATTACATGACATTTTCAACAGATGTCGGTAACAATTCCAGCAATCCACACATGTAAGGAAAGCTTCAAGACGCATCCTGTATGGAGAAATTAGACACACTGATTGATTGACTTTATTGATCTCACAGTGGACAAATTTACTTGTTGCATGCTGAAGTCTCTTATTTAGCAAGATTATTATACAGGGTTTTTGCACAGGGTATTTACATCGGTGTTTATATAGTTGGTTATTAATATATATAGCTATTGCACTGGGTATCAAATATAAAGGAACAGGTAATTGCAAATGGTATTAAATAGTAATAGCACATTATACATTGCACAAGTTAGTGCAGTTGTAGTGTCGCATTGTAGAATCTGGTGGCAGCAGGGATGAATGACCTGCGGTAGCGCTCCTTTTTTACAACGGTGTAAAAGTCTTTCACTAAAGGAGCTGCTCAGCTCTTCTACACTCTGGTGCAGGGGGGGAGAGGTGTTCTCCATGATGGATGTAAGCTTGGACAGCAGTCTCCTCTCAGCCACTTCCTCCACTGAGTCCAGAGCGCAGCCTAGGACAGAAATGGGAACAGCATGCATTGCTCAGGTATACTTTTTGCCCATTCTTCTACACAAACAGTTTTCAAATCTTGAAGGTTTTATGTGCATCTTCTATGAACTCTGATCTTTAGTTCTTTCCAGATATTTTTTATTAGATTCAATCAAGTCAGGTGATCGTCTAGGCCATTCTAGCAGTTTTTTTCTCTTTCTCTGACACCGATTGAGAGTTTCCATGGCTGTGTGTGTTTCCATGGCTGTGTGTTTGGGGTCAGTGTCCTGCTGAAATATCCACCCTCGTTTCATCATCCTGGTAGATGGCAGCAGAGTTTTATCAAGAATGTCTCTGTACTTTTTTTATTCATCCTTCCTTCTATCATTTGAAGTTTGTCTGTAGCATATGCTGAAAAACAGCCCCACACCATGATGATCCCACCTCCAAACTTCATGTAGGTGTGATATTTTTGGATTGATGTGCAGTGCCATCTGACCTCCAAACATGATGTGTATAATGGCATCCAAAGAGTCAATTTTGGCCTCATGTGACCAGATTATATAATCCACAGGCTTGTCTGTAAATGTTGTGCAGCAAACTTTAAAAAATCTTCAATATGCTTTTTCTTAAGCAATGTAGTTTTGCATGGTGAGCGTTCATACCGGCCATGACCGTTGAGTGGAGTACCTATTGTTTTCTTTTAAGCAATTTTACCTTCTAATTCCAGATCTTTCTGAAGCCCTCCACAAGTGGTCTTTGGCTCTTGAACAACTCTCCTAATAATTATTTTCACTCCTCTGTCAGAGGAAAACCTTCTCTTGTGAGAAGCACCTGGTCGTGGTCAGTTTATGGTGAAATTATATTCTTTCCACTTCCAGATTATGGCCCCAAAAGAGCTCACTGGAACATTCAAAAGTTTAGAAATCCTTTAGTAACCAATGCCATCATTAAGGTTGCAAAGGTCTTGAGAAAGCTCTTTACGTTCACCCATCACAAGATGTTTCTTCTTTTTATAGGCCATCATTTGGGACTGAAGCAGCTGAAAATAATCTGCACTGACAAGAGGCAGGATTTCTTTCTAATTACTTAGAGATTTTAGCTGGTATCTTGACTTCCCAGGCCTTTTTGCACCTCCCTCTCTTCACGTATTCAATACTTTTTCCCTGTGCCATTCCACATTATAACACAATTGAATTTCTGGAGATCTATGATTAGATTTCTTTTTATGTGTGGATTGCATGGATTGCTACCAATATCTGGTGAAAATATCATGTCAATAGCACCTCTAGAAATATATTATATATATACTGAGAAAAATGGTAGACTGTTCAATACTTATTTCACCCGCTGTATCTATAACAACCTATTATTTTCTGAACTAGTTCATCTTGAGTGATGATTTTGGACATTGTCCTTTTAGTTTGACTTCAGGCATCCTCCAACCTATGTCATTACAGTTGTATTACTTCCTTATTTGTCATTAGATGGGATGTGCAAATGACAAAATTATCTCACATTTATATTCATTCAGGGGGTTTTACTTTGTATGTCAAGTGATTATTGTGCAAATATCAGTATGTATTAATAATAAATACATGTTTAAAAAATGCTGGGTTTTTTTATTTATTTTTTCCCTACAACATTGATTATTGATAAATTGTATGAAAAGGCCCAAGAACGTGGAGGTTTGAAACTGAAAAAAATGAAAGCAAAGATATATAAATGTCTAATTTAAAAACAAAATGGTATAAAAACATTTTTATATTAATTTTTGAAATGTTTAACATGTCTCCGCCTTTAAGATCCAATTTATATACTTAGCTACTTTTAAATTACCTGAAAATATTTTGTGTATTAATTTCTAACACATTTTACTGTTTAAGAATTCAGTGTCTTTTATATGTTTTTCCTTAAAAATATGATGATTTGTTGTACAGGACCAAAGTGCAGAAATACACTTGGAAGTAGCTTTATGAGTGTGAGAATTTAATGAGGAAACTGGTGAAAGTTGAAGAATAACCTGGACATGCAATATGGAGCAGAATTAAGGACTTTATAAATACTGACAGGAAACTGAAGCCTTATATGCTATAGTAAAGAAGAAAATGAAGAATAAAAAAGAATAAATAAGAGTGATAATGATGATATGGGAGAAGCTAAGACAACTTACCATAAAATACCAACATAATGACTAAAGAATGTAAAGACAAAAACATCTGAACTGCTAAGACATACACAAGAGAAATGCACCAGATGACACCTGATTAAAGGTGAAGAAAAAAAATAGAACTAAAATTACAGACTTAATAACATTATCTGGCAGGCCTTACAGAACAAAGTTGAAAGCAAAATCTAACTTGCAGATCCTGAAAACAGAAGCATCAGTGTGTTTTTCCCCCACCGTATTTACCTTGTCTCTTTAAATTTTCTATTTTTACGTATCATTTTACCTTTTTCAGTCTTGTTTTTACTTTATGCATTATGCATATAGTCTGCTTCATTAATGCTAATGATGACCTTTTTCTTTTTTTTTTTACACAGAGACAATATTTCGTTGACCTTTTTAAAGAAAATATACTTATTAGCAGGTTTTAGCAAAAATCATCACCTAATTGAGCTCCTGTGACACGTTTTGGGCTCCAGTGGCAACTCCCAGGAAGAGATTCGGCCCTGATGGGAGATAGTTGTAAACCCTCTATTCTAATATGTGACAGAAAGAACAAAGACACTCTAATAAACAAAGTTGAAAAACATAAATTGTCAGAACAGCCACAAAAGTTAAAATCAGCCACAAAAGCATATCTTTTTTCATTACTTCATATCTGCCCAAAATTATAATATACTTTTGGGAAAAAAGTGGTTAAATTAATATATTGATCCACCTAGTCTTGTAGGAATAACAATTCTGAATTACACGTTAGTTTGTGAGAGTAGATATCAAAGGATAGCTGGGTGTTTTGGCCACTTTGTTATGAGATTTACTGAAGTCTAAAAATGTATTTTTGGGCAAATTTGGCTCTTAAAGTTTTTGTCTCTCCAGATTAAGAGCCAGGTCTGAACCATGTCCTTGAATATTTACAGACCTCTTACTGTACATCCAAAACAAACTTTCCAATTGTTTTGATTATCCATTTATTTTTGGATGTTTAGATTATCACATTTTATTTATTGTTGGATATTTCAAGATTACCAATAACATTCCTTTGGATGAACGTGCAATACAACTGTGTGATACCCAACATGTAAAACAGCAACTGCACAAATAAGGACAAATGTTGGATTTAATCATCACTAAGGATCTTGGACTGATGTTGCCTTATCTGACAACTTTTCTACTATTTTTGAAATTATAATTTCCAATGTCCTCAGTTTGCCAAAGAGACAAGAAAACACACATTTAAGGACGGTTGGCTCCTGAAACGTATATCAGATTTACTTTTCTATCTCTGCCCTCTAACTATTGATGAGCCTGCGGATAACTTTTATTCCTAAACCTCTGACATCACTGATTCAGTCACTTCAATGAAAGAGAAGGTTGTTTCTGGGAGCAAGAAGTATTTTTCAAGAGGTGCTCAACCAGTTAGAAGGGAGTGTGAAATCAAACAACAATGTTGTGCAATAACTTATCAATTAATGCCCACCGCTGTGGGCTTGGCAAATATGCCATTTAACCAAATAACTTTCGGACTCATATATTATTCTTTGAATCCACACTCAACTGGCTGTGTTAGGACGGAAAATTAATATGTGAATTAGGGATGTGGGAAATAAATAAACCACAACTTCCATCCAAAATATAAGAATTTATTAACAAAAATATTTCACTCCAATACAAAAATATTTAAATGAAAAACTCTTGACTACCGGTAAACTAATGAAACACAAATAAACTAAGCTACTATGTACACCAAAAAAATAAAGAAAAATGGTTGAAAACCACAATCGATGGAATGATGCAATGATATTGTTCAGCACGAATTTTATGTTTTGAGAACCACAGTTTACATTAAAAAGTTTGGAATTATGTCAATTTTGCTTTTAACTAATCTAGTGCAATTTATATAATATGTTCAAATATAAATCGAAGAGGTAAACAAAGTATTATTTCATAAAATAATATTTTAATAAACAATTTGCTTAATCAACTTTTGTTAACTGATTCTTAACCTTCGGCGTTTGAACTAGTAGTAAACAGACATGTGGGGACTCATCTTAAAGGAGTCTGCTCAAATTTTGTAAATGAAATGGGATGAGCATGTGAAGAAATATATAAACATTAACACTGTATTATGTTTAAACCTTTAGTGAAATAAAGTTTGTTTAGCTTTATCAATAACAGCTCAAAACATATCATTGTGGGGAACCATGTGGTCACAATGAGCTTCTTAATAGCTTGCCTTACACAACAGTAAAGACCTGAAAATATCAAAATCATCAGAAACCCACATTTTTTTTAATTTGTATTATTCTAATTTTGCCAGATTCAAACCTAAGCTTTCTCTAGTATTCAGGCCCCAGCAGGGAAACATTCATTTGTTTTCAGATGCTCCACTCCTGTAGTCTCTAGCATCTCAAACGTTCCTGTCAATGCAGAGAGAAATGTTGCAGAGCAGTCTGTTTTTGCAGCAGCCGGGTTCAGAAATTAGCCACAAGTTCAACTTAGCCTTTGACCTGTCTGCAAATTCGGGTTTCTGTGGCCTGCATGGCGTTTATTCATGGGGTCTCTTTGATGAGGCTGGCTTGAGTTCAGCTGTAAAGGAGGATGGGACAAGCATAAAGCAGTTGCTTTGTCCACAAACACGGTGGGGAGGGCAAGATCCGGTGGGAGTGTCGTGTGAGAGGGGGATTTGCAAAAGTTAGATAAAAGAAAAGCATGGACATATATTCTCAGTGTAAAAATGTATATAATTGTTTGTGATTTAAAAAGTAAAAGCTATTGAAAAATAATCATAAATGTTGTCAAAGTACTTTTGGAAAAAAGGAAAATGTAACAACAGGAAAAGACAGGAAATTTAATAATTTATTTATTTTTTTTTTCTCAAAAGTATTTGCTTTGAGATTTATGAGCAGTCCCTTAGCCAGAACGCTGTGTGTAAAAGGAGAGATCAGGCAGACGAGGAACCTCTAAGTAACATCGAGGCAAAAAAATAGTCATCACTGACTGTAGACAGGCATGCATGAGGATCCTGTGCCTTTCTCCTAATTGCGTAATGGTAGATGTGTAAATTCTATTTTTTGTTTATACATAACTCTTACCTTTCGAAACCAGAAACAACTATAGGGTGCAGTAGGGAATTGGCATTACTAAGCTACTAGCATGACACTATTATAATTAACAAATTTGAGATGATAATCAACCATCAATGAATTTATTGGTAAGTTTTGGATGTTGAAAACTGGACTTGTTTTTATTTTATCACTAGCCAATGTTAATACTTCAAATTTATAATTGATTTTGGCAAGTAATAATCATTAACCATAATCTAAGTAAATGTCACTGTTTTGTCAAGAAAAATTACTCAAATACCAGCCTTTCACAATGTAATAGCTTTGGGTCAATCTAGAGAGTGGGAATCAGGGATTCACAAATTATTGTTTAGTTCAGGGGTGCACATAAAATTTTTGGTCTTGTCCACAGGGGAGAACCTGAGGCTGTTGCTTGGTCCTTGCATTTTTAAATACATTTTTTCTTAACCCACATCACAGATGGAACACCACCAGACAAAAGAGAATTGTATGAATACTATGACAACTTCCGTGTCAACTGAAAATAAGGCAAAGCAGGACTTTATTCACCACAAAAATATGTACTAGAGATGAGAGATTCAAACAAGGAGAATCTATACTTGTTTTTAACATTGTTCAAATCCTCTTTCACATGGAGCACTGCTTAAGGGCATGAGGGACAAGTTTAGGGCACTCTGAATGTTGGAGTAACTGTCAGGATTGCTTGTCTTCACAAAATTAACCAGGTCATACACAGAGTTGACTGCCAAACATTTTCCAGCTTGCTTTAAGCACCTCCATTTTCTTAAAGTGTCAACAGAAATGTTGGCGAAATACCTCTCAAGGATGTTTCTAAGAGTTGTGTTGCTTCAACTGTGTTCTTTTATTTCAACAGTCTAAGATGTAAGATTAAAAAGTCAGTAAGCTCCTCTTTTTTGTATTTATAAATAGTCAAATTTGTATGCTGTGTTGAGCTGTAGAATTTTTCCAACATCAAGAATAGTTGTAGAGGAAACAACAAAAACACAGATGAGTGTCAGGGCAGTTTTATCAAATTGTTCCCAATAAATTTGGATGGCTAGTAATATTCTCTATATTTTCAGTAAGGTCTACTGTCTATAGACCATCTGATACCATCTGATATACTTTCCCAACTCGATAAAGGGTATGGCTCTCTCCCCACATATTTTTAGTCTGGCAACTTGTTTAACACACCCTCCCGTAAGGTAAAATCTTCGCAAGTTAACATTGGATTGATTAACTAACTCCCAGTTTTAGAATGAGTGGCCCTCCACAAATGTGTCCATAGTTTGGACAGTGCAAAGTGTCTTATACTAACATTGACACTACACACACTACGGTAAACAGCAAGT